TTTCTCAGCCCCGCCTACCTCACAAGGTGTCTGCTGTGGGGAGGGGAAGGGAAAGGAGTTTGTAAGCCACTCTGAGACTCCCTTCGGGTAGTGAAGGGCGGGGTATTCTCCTTCTCCTTCTCCTCCTCCTTCCCAGAGGAATATCCATATAGCAACAATCAAGTCTGGGACAGTTTCTGTGGTGGATCCAATCCATCGGAATCCCCTACCAGAATGGGTGCAGAGTGCCTTCAAACTGAAGAAGCAGAAGGAGGAGGAGAAGAGGAGATTGGATTGATATACCACCCTTCACTTGGAGTCTCAGAGCGGCTTACAATTTCCTTTCCCTTCCCCTCCCCACAAGAGACATCCTGTGAGGTAGGTGGGGCTGAGAGAGCTCTTTCAAGAACTGCTTATGAGAGAAAAGCTCCGAAAGAACCTGTGATTGACCCGAGGTCACACCAGCAGCTGCATGTGGAAGAAGAGGAGGAGGAGGAGGAGACTGGATTTATACCAAACCCTTCACTACCCAAAGGAGTCTCAGAGCAGCTTACAATCTCCTTTGCCTTCCCCTCCCAACAACAGACACCCTGTGAGGTAGGTGGGGCTGAGAGAGCTCTCTCGAGGACTGCCCTTGTAAGTGACCCAAGGTCACACTCACAGCTGCATGTGGAGGAGTGGGGAATTGAACCCGCTTCTCCCAGATTAGAGTCCGCGCTCCTAACCACTACACCACGCTGGCTCTCAAGGGTTGAGAAAGGAGCCCCGGATGTTATTCACTTTTTTGCTGGGAGATCTCCAGGCCCCACCTGATGTGGTGACATGCAGAAACACAAAGGACAGTCTTATCCTGAGGATGGATCGTTCCATTTGTATAATTATAGACTCTAAAAATGAGTGTTTTGGGTGCAGCAATAAAGCTTTTTGGCATGCCTCCAGTTATAATTCAGGATAAAGTTATTTAAAACTTTTATATGCCGTCTTAGCTCCTCAGACCCAAGGCAGCTAACAGCGTAACACCGGGTTGCAAGGACACAAAAATGTAAGAAGGCAATTAATATGATTTTTAAATGCACAGATTAAAAAAAAAACATACTAGGTTCAAAACCACACAGACTTTTTAAAATAAAAAGAATGCTAAATCCACCGAAATAGGTCACCCTCCAGCAAATGCTCTCTGGGACAGAACAGCTCTGCGCACTTTCCTTGAGAGCCAGTTTGGTGTAGTGGTTAAGAGCACAGAGCTGTTGTCTCGAGGGCAGTCCTCGAAAGAGCTCTCTCAGCCCCACCTGCCTCACAGGGTGTCTGTTGTGGGGAGGGGAAGGGAAAGGGGATTATAAACCACTCTGAGACTCCTTTGGGTAGTGAAGGGCGGGGTATAAATCCAATCTCCTCCTCCTCTTCTTCTTCCACCTGCAGCTGCTGGTGTGACCTTGGGCCAGTCACAAGTTCTCTCAGAGCTGTTGTCTCAAGGGCAGTCCTCGAAAGAGCTCTCTCAGCCCCACCTACCTCACAGGGTGTCTGTTGTGGGGAGGGGGAGGGGGAGGGAAAGGAGATTGTAAACTGCTCTGAGACTCCTTTGGGTAGTGAAGGGCGGAATATAAATCCAATCTCTTCTTCTCCTCCTCCTCCTGCTCCTTAGCCCACACATGGGCTCGTTTAGTGGTTGCAAAGGGATTGTTGTCTGCAGTTGTCATAGCGAAATAAAACAAAACTGGACTTTTACCTTCTTTCGTGTTCCGGACAAGGGGGAAGACTTTCTGCCATTGCTGTTCTCACCTCTGTACTTCAGGCACTCCCAATTCCCAAGATGAACTCTGACATTCAGAAGAGCCTCTGGGGCTCAGCAGTGATTTGAAGGGGAACTTCGTGTTCAGGAAGAAGAGGCATAAAGCATTCCGGGGGGGGGCTTCTGGTGGGTTTTTTTTTTAGTATGGCCTTGATGCCAAAGATGTCGGTGTGACTTGGTGGCTAAAAGTGTCAGGGAGATCCAGGTCGGCCTTGAGTCAGTCTCAGTCAGGCCTTCCCCGCAGGGTTGTTGTGAGGATAAAATAGAGGGGAGGAGGACAATGTTGTTAAGCGGCTTTGGGTCCCCCACTGGAGAGGAGGGCAGGGCGTGGAATAAACAATCTTCCCAAGGTACTTACTGGGCAGTTGCCCACACCGGGACCAATGGGACTTGCAACATGACCACACCAGTGAGGGTAACTGCCGAGTAAGTAGTTTGGGGGGACCCAAAGACAGTTTGGTGTCGTGGTTAAGTGCGCAGACTCTAATCTGGGAGAACTGGGTTTGATTCCCCACTCCTCCACTTGCACCTGGCTGGATGACCTTGGGCAAGCCGTAGTTCTGATAAGAGCTGTTCTTGAAAAAGAGCAGTTTCTGTCAAGAGCTCTCTCAGCCCCACCCACCTCACAGGGGAGGGGAGGGGAAGGGAAAGGAGTTTGTAAGCCGCTCAGACTCCCTTCGGTAGTGGAGGGCCATGGGGTATGAATCCAGTCTCCTCCTCCTCCTCCTCCTCCTCTTTGAGCCCCAGAAGCTCTCCTGAAATGTCAAACTTCAGCAGCAGG